GACATATGCACTGCTGGCACTATGCATGCATCGTCGGCCGGCACTGCATCCGCGACAATGAACCGACAATTTTGGGCCATTTTTCTACATGCTTCCAGATTCTCCAAGCGACAAGCCGGCGCATCAATGCGTCTTAGGAGCCGCGGTGATGGAGAAATTCGGGGCAACCACTTAGCTCGCGGCGCAGATTTCGAAGTCTCTTGTTGTTTGAATCGTGTCAATCGCGTTTTTGGCGCAAACCGTGTTGGAAAAGGGGCCAAAATATTTTAGTAACATTGCGATCCAATTGCGCTTGAGGTGCGATTTTCGCGGATTTTCGGCACAGAACGTCACTTGACGCCACGGCCATGAGCAGAGGGCCGATGGACTAAGAGCGGCCCCAAACAAAACATGGGTTCCTAAAACGGGCCCAAGCCAGATCGCCCAAGTAGATCGCACCTTGGGGGGCATTCACTTTTCCCCTCTCGCGTTTGGGAACGCTAGCTACTGAACGGAAAAGCGTGGAGAAGACCGCGATTGAGGCCTGCTCAACTCCGGATGGAATATTGCGTTACTGCATGTTGGCGGGTCGCGCACGTCAGCCCGCCACGACAGCTGACCCCCGGGGAAACTCAGCCGGAAACAACTTTCAGAAAGACCATCCCACTTCCACGAAAATTCGCACAGGCCTCCCACCCTGGCGTTCGGGGTCGCGTCGCCGGCCTGCAGCAAGCGCCTCGAGCGGGCTGCCCCTACAGAGCAGCATCAAGTCCACCAGTCAGCGAGCCAGGAAGTTTGAAAGCTCAGTTTGGCAGACGGGGCTTTTGAAAGCAGAGTCTGCTTATTCGCCCGGCGTGGCATCTGGCCAGCGTCCAGAGGTCCCCGGCACCCCTGGGGGCCCTCTCTGACAGGGATGCCCCCCCATGGCAATGGAATCCTGGCCATCCAAGAATGGGGCTGGCGCACAATTGCATCCCATCTTCAGTTTCACGTTTATTGGTTGGCGCCCACGAAGGAGGGTTGGGGAGGGGGGGCGGCCGATGCCGCAAATTCGTTTTTGAACATGCAGACAAAGTTCACACCGGCCAGGGGCCTGGAAAAGAGGGCCGCCGGGGGCAACAGCCCAGGCAAGTTCGCGGCAGGCATTGAGATGCGCGAGTCCTTGGCGGCCCCGATTGCGCGTGCACGAGCGGTGGGGGGCCCGCGGCGTCACCTTCGCATCGGGTTGCCAGCTGGACCAGAAGCAGGACGAGAGCGACGGAGGCCGCCAGCCGGGAGGCGTTGCCGCTTGAGATCATCACTGGATGGCGATGTTGGAATGACGATTGCAAATTTCCGATTGCGCCGATCGGCACGGCGAGGCGGTTCTGGGGTCGCCTTGTGCGGTTGGTGGGGTTGGGGGAAAGGCAGGGGGCTGGAAAGGGGATGGGGTGTTGGCTTCGGGCTATCGGGGGGTGGGCGAGGGAAGGCAGCTTTGACCGGACACTGCTGATTGGGAGGCAGCTGCGTACCGACTGCGGCATGTGCATCTCAAAAACCTCGGTATCGGCACATCGTAACGTATCGTATCGTGTTATCGCATGAGCGACCATTGGATATGGCCAACCCAGGGAGATGTCCCGTGTGCGGAGGCCCTTGTCGTGACGTCTCTTGATGTCCATGGATACGTGGACAGTACTGAGTAGACAAATCTACGTTGGATGGATAAGTCTGGCCAATAGGTGTCCGCCTGCTCCCACAAATCGGGATCCTTCACAAGAAGCTTCTGCTGGGAGGAACAGTTGTGGCCACAACCGGTTATGCACGATCCAGCTGTGGCGTCTCTCGCAACACCGTCTGGGGAAGCACAAAATGAAGCGTGGCTTGCTTGAACGATCCGCAAAGGGCTGTCTGGCGGCAGCCAGCTGCCACGCGTGCAGGAATACGGAATGGATAGCGAGCGTTACTTGCTATGTATAGTGATAACTAGCTGTTGGTTTGTGTGGGCATCCGGCATGGCCAAGTAATGGCCACGAATTAGTGGCCAACGACAGTTTGTGCGTTACAACAGCCTCTTGTCAGCTGGCGCTATAGATCCCAACTCACAACACTAGGAAAAAAAGGGCCAAATAACACGTGTTCAAACGTGTACAAAGTTTACGGGTTTGTGTTATTTTTGTGTTCTTAGCGTGTAAAACTATGATGAAATGTGTTTTATGTGTGTTTGCAAAAGTGTTATTTGGCCCTTTTTTTCCTAGTGCAAGGGGAGGTTAAGTCAGTCAGGAATGGTGCATACCACGCTGTTTTCTCTGTTACAGGCCGAAACATTTCTACTTGCGGAAGATCGTGTATCCTTGGGACCAAAATGTATCCAGATACCGCCACGAATTTACCATCAACGCATTCAGGGGCCTCACGCAGAGTTCAGGCAAAACTGTTAATGCAAGCGCTAAAGAGCGGGGGAGCACAGGAAAAGAGCGGCGACGTACGGCATTATCACTTGCAAACTAATCGCTTCTGCAAATAGACTGCTTGAGAGATTTTCAACAGAGCACGTCTAAAACAGGCGCCAAAGAAACATTCCAGGGCCGCCCTAGAAAACGCGGGTAGTGCCAGGGCAACGTTCACTGCTGCTTAAATAGCGAGACCTGCCGCTTGGCGCTCAGCACAAGCCCTTGTGCGGACCCAGATGGCGTTGGGGCACCCAGTGCAGCCCGCAAGCGTCGCACAATGGGCAGGAGCACCAATCGCCGCATGCCGTGCAACGTTTGTCCGATACTCAAGATTTCGTCGTGGTATTGTCGTCATATGGTTGTTGATGGAAAAGAGAGATCGTTACCACGTCGCTGTCTATTCCTTATCATGTTGTCACGATGAAATCGCCACCGTATCTCCCCCCTGTCGTCCCCATATAACGCTGTCTCGTCACCGTATCACTACCATGTCACTGTCGTACCTCATGCAGGGGACAAGGAAACCCCAAAGCCTAAGGCCAAGAAAAAAGAACTACGCCCAGGAACTGACCTTGATGATATTCATGGTGTTTATGTCCTTCATGTACGGTAGTGAAGGGTGTTGGACGTTTGTGCGCCCCGCTGAGCGTGACCTCCCCGTGCTCCTGAAATTCGCTTTGTGCTTTGTGAATCGCCAGCTAAACCCCCATTGGGAAGTCTGGTTTGCCCCCAAACGTACCAAGTCTTCTCTCAGTGCTGTTGTGACCAGAACTGATTGAGTATCACTAATAGCTGGGCTCATGGAGGTGATGGGACAATAGGAACTGAATTAAGGACACTGGCGGACGGACCGGATACGAGTTACGGAATCCCTGTTGTCCCTCCGCTCCGCTGCGAACCGTTGGCGTGTGCTCGGCTCTGCGGTGTCACCACCCCTCCAACCGGCCTTGTCAGTACCCTGTGAGCTGCAGAATCCCCCACATGTGTGTGTAAAAGCATACAAGAATAGTATAATACATGTACCACTTTCCAGTCTTTTTCCGAAGAAAGAACCGGCTCCGGCGAAAGGCGAGCCGCTGGACGTGCAGCAACACATTGAGCGGCTCCCCCGGGCCCACACTCGGATCTCACCGCCGCAGAGAGTGACGCGTTCCGCGGAGCTGCGCAAACGGCACCGCCGGACGTCCGCGGGCGGGGCCCGGCGCCACCGCCTCCGCGCGGCGTCGCCTGTGCGCTGAGCCCGGAAGTTACATCGGGGGCCGCGGATCGCATCAGGCGCCTTGGCCGCAAGCCCCCGGCCCCCTTGGGCCCCACGCCACGGGTGAGCAGTTCTTTCGTTGGCTGGTGGCCTTCGACCCGTTGGCCGACGATTCTGGTGGTCGATTTCGGCGCCGTTCGAGCGCCCTGGGGTTTGTCGATGGGGAGGGTTGCCGGGGGGGTTGCTTGCCGGGATTGGCGGGAGGTCTGGAGGGATGCGAGTCGCGCGCACGGGTCGGTGCGCTGGGGTTAGGTCTCGCGCGGCGGACGAGGGCGCCAGGCGGAGAATCAAACGGATGGCAAACAGGCGGGCGTTTTTGGCGCGGCTGTCGGGTTTGCGTTTCGTCTGCGAGGGCAACTGCAGCGCCCGGGCTGCGCTTATCCATGACTCGCGAACCGCCCTTCGCGGGGGGTTTGCCCCAGGGGCCTTCACAGGGCAGCCCGCCTGGCGGGTGAGGACTCGCGGCGCTCAGGAGCCGCCTGCGCGATCCGCGTCCATTTTTCATGTTTGCATGTTGCTGGGCCCCGTGGGTCATGCTGGGTCTGGCCGTCCACACTTCCCGCCTCCCCCGTCGCTCGTCCGTGACGCGCCTTTCGCAGTTTGGGCTGCCGCGGGTTCGCTGCTCATCGCGGCCGGATTTGGCCCTCGGGTTTGGGGAACTTTGCAGAGCCAACTGACCGCCCTGTCTCTTTCGCGTTGTATGGTATCGTGCTTCCAGTTTGACCCCTGCACGGGTTGCGGATGTCCAGCCCGGGCCCGCGACCCCAGCGACGTCGACTCTCACCGATTCTTTTGCTCCTTTCCATCCCAATGCGCGTTGTTGCAGCGGATGCGTTGCGGGGTCTCCGCGGCGAGACGACAGCTCAGGCCGTGGGCGGCCAGCGCAAGAATTTGTTCTTCCGCCGCGGACAGCGCGTGCCTTTGCCGTTGCTTGCCCTTCCAATTGTCCAGCCCACAGCTGCTCTTCTTCCACGAGGAGCATGTGCTCGGCGTCAGGGTGGTCTCGTGCGGTGTTTAGTGAATTCTGGAGCGCCACCCTGCGCAGAGAATTGTCTCAGAAACTATCCACAGGGCCCTGATACCCATTTTTACGGCCCGTTCCCTCTATAACACCCCCATTCCTCGCCAGACTATCAACTCCCAGGTGTGTCAGGGATCGCTTTGGCTCCTTTCTCAGCAACTTGGATAGGATGTCATGCCCTGTGGCCGTCTTCCCACCTCATTGACTCACTGCGCACGTGCACTGGCCCACAATGCTGACCTGCTGTGCATGTGCGTTGATGCCGATCATGTGCATTGCAGGCTGAAGGAGGGGGGCAAGGGTGACCATCATGGCATTGGGCAGGAGCAGGTTTTTGCCATTCTGCCTGGCAGTCTTGACACTGACCTGCAGTCTGGCTGTGGGAGCCAGGGAGGTAGCCCTTGGAGGTGAGCGGCAATGGTGTCAGAGCGGAGCAGGACACTGAATTCCTCACAGAGAGCGGCTGGCAGTTGCTTCTCAGGCATGAAGATGCCTCTGAACAAAATGCTGCTATTGTGGAGAGAGCCACACAGTGCTGTTGGCACAGGAGGGTGCCCCATAAGGTTAAAGCCTGTGGGTGCAACATGCATGAGGAAGAGAAGGGGGGGAGGAGGCCCAGCCATCCTCTGTGACATCCTTTCATGGTGTTAAATGCACGATCTGGGGAGATTGCTCATCGCAGAAATGGTTGAGCAGCAATGGTTGAGAGGCTCTTGTGGAGCCCATGACAGTTGATAGAGAAATAAATCTCTGATGGTATGACAACAAGTCACAGCACAGAACAGCACATACAGCAACACAGCGTGTACTTAGGAAGGCAGATTGGATGGAAGCCCCCAGCTGTTTGCTTGGTCTGTTGTTGCGTACTGCAGCAGTGTTTTGGGTGCATTGTAGTTTCTTCCACACAAAGCAAGAGAAGGTTGCACCAGTCCTTGTTGCTCATTAGTCTGTGAATATGTGATTTTCAGGTGATTCAGAAGCAGCTCAATGGAGGGCAGGAATGAGAAGGTTGACACAAGATGGAACCCAGGGGCAAATCGCGGTGTGTTATTTGGCTGCCAGCAAGTGATGCATAGTCAAGTGATGCGGTGGCAGACTAACATCTTGCTGTGTGGCAAGAGACTAGGCACAAGGCACACAGTGCTGCACTAAAGCACAAGGACTAGTGCTGCATTAAAGTGCAAGCCACATAGTACGGGACAAATAAAGGAGAAAGCAGTGAACTAGATTGTGTTTAAGTTTCCAAAGTGTTTTTGAGTAGGCACAGCCCATCAAGAAGTGAACTTAACCAAGAATAAATAGACACTGGACTCTCACAAGGTACTGGGCACATGACTGTATTTGCAACCACATTTGGGCACACGCTTGAAACCACCCCTGCAAACCAGGGGCCATCCTTCCTCAGAAAGAAATGTAAAGATAAATCCTGGCACAGTATCGGACCACACTGGATTGTGCACCGGAATGTTGAAACCATTTGAGTAGCTCTACAGAATTTCGGTGGAGCGCTTGCAACAGCAAGTTGTGGCATTGGAAATGTCAGGACATGGTCTTCCTTGTAGTATCTTGTGATGTTGTCAACATTTTATGCTTGTGTGTGAGTTGACGATGGTTGGAAGAATGAGCAAAACCTAAACCTGGCTGCAAGGTTGAACATCTGACAACTTGACATCTGCACACCTGGCACCTGATCTCTAATCGTGTGGTGTAGCTGTGGATTCCACACAGTGTGGAATAGAAGCCCCTAAAAAGCTGATGCTAGATCCGCATCATCTCCTACAAGTCAGAGCAGAAACACACAGTGGCCATTTTTAGGCTTGTCGTCTCTTCATCTGGCATGTTGGCCTGCTGACACTACCACATCTTGATGTCATTGCCAATCCATCATCGTGGTTTTGGCTCCTTGAAAGGGACAAATTCTCTCAGGAAGCTTTCTTTATTCAAAAATGTTATTTGATGCTTAGAAACCCAGTTGCTGCCTCGTCCTGACAGAAGATTCTTGATGGGCTTGTCGCAAGAAGGCAGGGCAAACGATCAGACTCTGTCCTAGGTTCTTGGCACCGCCCTGGCACTTGTGCCTGCCACAGTGGCCGATTGTCAGTGTGCTCTGACCGGTTGAAACTTTGCGTGAGCAATGCCTCAACTGCCGGCGATCCCTCAACCTAGCCCAGGATATCAATCTGATTTGAAACCAAAACGGGGATCAAAACTTGGCCACAGATGAGGTGCGTGTACACCTAATTGTTGTCTTTGTGACACTTTGGAAAACCGCCACATAACAGGTGCCCTGCCCATAGTCTTTGCTCTGGACATTTGTACAATGCCCATTCTGTACTGCAGTTGTGTGTCTTGGGCGCAGCAAGAACAGCATGCGGCAAGTAGAATGTTGAATTCAATACACTTGCATGCCCTAAAGATGACAAGTCCAAAGGATCAACAGATATCCATGCCTAGACCTGGCCCGAAATCATATTGCTGATTGAAACCCAAATCTGAACGCATCTTCACCTTGCTGCAAGGCCAGTGATGTACTTCAAGTATTGTACTTTGGCGATTGGAATCAGAGAGATGAACCCAACCTAAAGTTTGGTTTTAAGACCTGATTGTGGACTTGAACATGAAGAGCTTATTTGTTGCAGGAGTGGGTTGACGCGCCATGCGGTCGGTTCCCGTACATGGCTTCCCTGCGAACGATGACAGGCGAACACCAGTGTGGGGGGGTGTTGGTGGACAAGAAGTGGGTGCTCACTGCTGCGCACTGTGTGGACAACTCTACGGCATTGTACCCATCGCATGCGGTCTTGCTAGGACTCTGCAATGGGGATGAAGACAAGGGTACAGAGGCCTCTGGCCGCGTTGTTGAGGTGTGTGCAGAGAGGACTTAGGCAGTATAGCTGAAGGGGCGTAGGCGCGCTGTCTTGGAGGGAATCTGCTGACTCTGGACACTCGAACTTGTCTGTGTCAAGTGCAAAACCTTTTGGCAGCCCGGTGCTTGGATTATTGCTGTCACAATTGCCATAGTTCTGCATCAATTGTGTCTGACAGAGCAGTTGACTTGCCCATCCATGGCAGTGGCAACCTCGCAACTGTGCTGCACAAGTCTGTGTGCTCCATCCCAGTAGTACAGTAGTGTCCTAGCTCGGCTATCAAGTGGTACTTTGTGCAAAGGGCTGGCTGTCTGACGGATTCCTTCCAGGAATCAACCTTCAGACCATGATATGGAACGACTTAGGTCCTGTCAGCATTCATGCACCTAGTGTTGCCAACACTCATGAGCTCACTGGTGCAAGGGAAGGTGGGGCTGCCTCCCCTGAAACAAGCAGAGGTGTCCATGCTTTAAGCACTTATACCCTATTGGTCAAAAAAGTCATTGACTGCCTTATTTGCAAGTGAATGGATCCTAGCACATCTTTTCTATGCTGCATTTGAGTTCATGTTGGTGTGGCAGTGTGTCAGCTCCTGCACGCAGCACATTTGGCATTATGAAACAGTCACGTGACACAATGACAAATGTGTTTTGGATGTGGCAATGCCCAGCCAGACCATGCAGTTGTGTTGCAATTGGACCCTACTTTGTTGATTCTGGTTGTCGCCACAAGCCGAGTTAGTTGACTCGGTGGTTCTCGTTCATTGCACCTGTCACAATTGGCGATTTCGGCACTGTTGTTGAATAGTTGTCCTGTCTGCGGCGCAGCTTTTCATGGGTGAAAAGATTGTGATCCATCCAAACTACACCGGCACAACCCAGGAAGGAAACGACATTGCCCTCATATTGCTCAATCGGGAGTCGAAAAATGTGCCTGTGAATTTGGCAACCAACCCAAATGAATTGGTGAACAAACGGAAGGTTGCCGCCGTTGGCTTTGGCACATCGAATGTTGGTGGACCTTCTGACACGCTCAAGTTCACAAATGAGTTGAGCATCGTCCCAAACTCTGTGTGTGAGCTTTCGTGGGAGGGCGTCATCCAGGACGCGATGGTGTGTGCTATTGGGCCAGATGGTGTTCTGGACATGTGCCCAGGTGAGGGCTCACGATGTCCAACCTGACCTGGAGTGACTGTGCATTATGCTGGTGGCATGAAACACAGTCATGCCACTGGACTCTTGCCAGGAGATGGAACGAGTGTGATTTCACAGTCGCCAACAACAGCATCGATCGGGGTGCTGACCAGCTGTCACAGGTGGCATCACCCGTGCAACAACTTTTGTTTCAATCCATCTGTGCATGTTTTGAGTTGGAGCTGAATCGCTGAAAGTCGTTCGTTGGGTCTGTGGTGATAATCTGTTGTTGTTTAAGCTGTGGTAGTTGTCTATTCTTACTGTGCATATATCATAGTATGTTGCATAGCTGGGAAAGTGTACTTTGAAGCGTTGCATATCATTGTGTCTTGGATGGTGTCAAATTGCTAAAGCTCGGTTGTTGGTAGCATTGTCCACAGTAGTCCACTGTCCACTGTACTGATCTGCTAGCTTGCGTAGTTTGAGACACACTGTCTCACCCTCTGCACTTGCAACATCTTCCAGTAGTTGGGGGTAACAGTCATGTGTGCTGTCGCTGGATATTCTTTTGCAATAGTGTTGAATGCTAATGGTTGTTCGGTTAACAACGACGGCGTGGTGATTGGACCTCAGGGGACAGCGGTGGGCCGCTGCTGCTGCCCTTCCAACCTGGTGGGAAGGTGGAAGATGGCGCGCCTGAAGTCGACAAGGTTGTGGGTGTCACATCGTTTGGTGGGAAGAGAGCCTGCGGTGAGGCAGGGGGCCCGGCAGTGTACACTAGGGTGACGAGCTATGCTGACTGGATAGCGAGCGTCCTGGAGGTGAGTATAAAAAAGTGAACTGGGGCACAAGGCAAGGCACAAAATGGTCTGGAGCAGCTTGGTGCAGGGCGAAAGGAATATGTGCTTTTGGCTACTTGAGCCCGAGCTGTTATTGTGTGCCTCTCACAGACTATTGGCCATTGTAGCAATGAATGTCAGCCAAGCAGCAATGAATGTACTGTTGTGCTGTACCAGTCACTGGCAAAGCTCGCCTGACCTCTGGTTCTCATGTTGCGTGGACTGCTTGGGCGTTTTGTGATTGAGACCAGCCATTGGTGATTCCTAGTTAATGTTTCACAGTTGCACAACTGTATTGAAGTCTTTGCCCTGTCCATCCACAGGGCTGCATTGTGTGGCAGCCCCATAACTGCCCCTTGGTTTCAGTGTGGTGCCCTTCGCCACCCTCCAGACAAGAAGAGCCTGAGGGGCCTCCTGGAGGTGATAGAGCAGTGGCACCTGACTGTTTGAACCTATCCCTAAATGTCACAATATAGATGTCATTTTAAATGTCACAATTCCTAAATGTCACTTTGCTTGGATCACATTTCTGAAAATTCTGACACAACATTGCCAAACACCTCCAGACAACGAAGGACAACACGTGCACATGCGTATGTCCCTCTGACGAAACTCAAGAGCCCGAGGCACCTAATGGGGCTGTGGTACCTGAAGAACCTGAACAGCCAGCCTCGCTGGCGGCGGGGCCAGCCTCGCTGGCGGCGGGGCCAGCCTCGCTGGCGGCGGGGCCAGCCTCGCTGGCGGCGGGGCCAGCCTCGCTGGCGGCGGGGCCAGCCTCGCTGGCGGCGGGGCCAGCCTCGCTGGCGGCAGGGCCAGCCTTGGCACCTGCAGGGACTGAAGAGCCTGTACAACTTGAGGAGTCAGCAGACCCTGCTGCAGGGTCACCTGGTTCATCGCCGGTGGGTGCTTGCCTAGTCCACAATTTGCATCGATGTTCTGCTGAGAAGAACTTTGTACTTCAATTCCGTTAAATATTCTGCTGCTGAAAAGGGAGGGACCTTGTACAAGGAAAAAGGACAAGAGCGCCCAACTGGCAATTCCCTCCCCACCTTCCTCTTCTCTCTTCATTTCTCCTTGCCTGCGAAGGGCTGCATGGGCATGTGTAATAATGCAGTAATGTAATAATTTGTAATAATGTGGCATTGTCAGTGAAATAAGCTCCACAGGGTGTGGGATGTTGTGACTTGTTGTTTTTACCATGCTTGGGGACTTCTGTGTCTTGTTGCACACTGTGCTGAAGAACTTGTGCTGTGCAGTTCCAGCCCAAGAGGGTTTTGTCCACAGTGGGTGCGATTCCTTCCTTTGTGAAATGACAATTTTCAGAAGTGATACGGAAAGATGCCACTGCGCATTGGCCAGTGTGGTTGCAGGATCATTCGTACCAAGTCGTTGCCCTTTGCTCAAACTTCCATCATAGGCTTTTGCCCAAACCCCAGCAGAGCCTTGAATGCAGCCAGCTCAAGGTTCTTTTAGAATGACAATTTTTGAATTGGAATAATAAATAAATAAATAAGTAAATAAATAAATAAACAGATGAGTAAATATATCCATCTGTGTTGTTTACCCTGCAGAACTGTGTATGCTCCGAGGATGGTGTCAGTGCAGGCGTCCAGACCGGCTTTGGTGGATGCACCAGGCGGCTGGAGGCCGGAGCTGCCCTTTGCTACGTGCAACCCAACCAGGGAGATTGCCCTATTGCCAGGAACTCCAGTCTTTTTCCCGGGGCGCTGTGGATATCTTGTGAGGTGAGGCTGCCAGGAACTGGCCAACTGAAGCTCTGTGCTGGTCACAATGGGCTGCATCACTCATATACGCAGATAACTGATTGCTGGAGTATTTGAAACTTTTGGTTGACACAGCGGTTGGCCTTCTGTCCTGACTGGGCACATAGCTGTGCTTGGATACTTGCTCATGCCAGGGCCAACATCTGCTGTGTTGGACTTGAAGTTCAAACCCAATCAACATCTCACAACAGATGTCCTAGAATCCATCATAGTCTTATTTGATTTCAACTTTTGTTCTGCCAGGCAAGTCACCAGGGGCAAGATTGTAGACGTCTGCAACAGTGTGCCTGATTACATCCAGCACTGTGTGCTCAATTTGTGTCTTCCTTGCTGTATGTGCTGAGCATCGCTGCATGCTCTTCCTGCTGCACTAGGATACCTTTGCAGGTGCTGTGTGGCACAGAATCACAGAAACTCTTTGTTCTCTGTTCAACCATCTTCACGTACAGTCCTGCCAATCTTCGGTGAACTGGGAGGGTCTGCCTCTCAGAGCCACATTGATGCCAACCATTCTCTGTTGCCTAGTGCCTTTACCTGTTGCTGCAACTTCCTGCAAATACACAAGACACGATCAGCTATTTGCAGATTTGCCCCTGAAAGTGCATTTCTAATAAACGTGAATGAACTATGGACACACATCTGATGGTGCAGCACATTTGTTGGGGCACATTGATTGAAATGCTTCGAATTGCATGGTTACGCAAAGGGAGAAAGGACACACTGTCCATACAACTCAATGCGATAGTTCTTGCTTGTGCAGGACCGTCCCGGCCAAGGGCCTCCAGTGGTCCAGAAAATCCCAAAGGTGAGTGTTCTGATGTTCTGCGCAAGGCCGCTTTACTGCCTTGTCCACACTGACTTTATTTGCGAAATGGAAAAGCAGCCCAAACAAATTCCTGCAACATGTGGCAGCAACTAATCCTTTGGTTCTTCCTTTGGCTTCGTAGGCTTGTCCTTCTGCCTTCCTGCTGTAAAGGGCCAGAGAGGGGCATCATGAGTTGCTGGCTCAACAATGTCACTGTCGTACATTTGTTGGAGATTCAGATCCATTTTTTGCGATAGAATTGGGAATTGTTGAGAATTGTGGTTATTGTTGTATTCCTTGTATTTGAAGCTTGTGGGTTGTGCGAACCAGACACTGCGAGCTCAGGTACTGTATCTTGCCGCTCATTCTCACAAGGTTTGTTTCTCCCAACTGCAAACACTTGTTGACTGGATGGTCTGTTTTGGTGTCCCAGGATGAGGCACGGGACTCTGCCCAGGTCAACAAGGTCAGTTGATCTCTGTCTGCCAGGTGGATTCGGGGCCACCTTCACTACTTTGTACGAATGTGGCCTCGCAAACAGTGTGGGGGAACGTGGTGGCCAGTTCGGCCCCCTTATACGTAAGACATGCACACCATATGTCGAGATCGTAGAGTGTACTGTTTAGGGGTTAGTTTATTGGATTTGGAGCTGTGCACTCCCCGGTAATCATTGTAGCGCCAAGCAGCACAACAGAGGAGGGCAGCTGGCCATCTTGCCTGCGGGCGGGCTGCAAGTCCCTGAGAAGGAGGCAGCCATTGCGAGCTTTGTGCGCAGCGACTGTTGATTGCTGCTCGTCCAGTTTCCTTGAGGACTGGCATGCCAGATGATGCCATCAGATATATGCATGTGTGTATGTACGTGGCCATTAACAGCATGTCAGCCAACATGGGGTATGTCGCCCCCCAGCCCCCAAGAGCACACGTCCATTGTTTGTCCCAGCAGACGCCCGTGCGCGCGCACTGCCGCTTGCCTCTACATTGAGGCATATTGCTGATTTGTTCAGATGTTGAATATGGTCTTAATTCTGTTTGGTCACCAACCCTGGTGCGTTCCGTCGGTGAAAGACTTTCCTGATCATTCTTCGATCGAAGGAGCTTTGCTCTCTCTGTGCATCTGTGTGTTGTGGCATGCTGTCATCAGGTGTGCATCTGCAGAACTTGCAGGCGCTTTCGAGCAACGTCCCTATGTTGTGGGCTGGGGGGAAGGGAATGGGTTGCAGGCTTCTCTCCCCACAACTGACGTTCGTTCCATTCCACGCGGAGCAACACAAATGTCAGGACACCTGCCACGTTGCAACTCACCAGTATGAGAATTGTGTGTATACTATGTGTATGCTGTGTGGTACTATGTGTATTATGTGTGTCGACTAGCTTGGATTCTTTGCATTCCATTGGGTGTTTGCTGAACTACTAGGCACTGCAAGATGCTGCCTCGAGAGGGCAGGAGGCCAAGACGAGGGAGGCCCTCCTGGCGGGCGCAAACCCCGAAACGCCATTCCGCAACGTCCCCATCCTCCACACCGTAGCGTCCATGGACTACGTGGTGGTGGGCACGGCCCTCATCGAGGCGGGCGTGAACGTGGACTCCAAGGACACCATGGACGGATCCACTTCCCTGCACAAAGCCTCAGGCTGGGGCAACATCGATTTCGTGGCTCTGCTCATCTCGGCGGGCGCCAACAGCACAATAAGGAACAACGATGGCAGGACGGCCCGGAGCATGGCGTGCGAATTCAACATGGCGAACCCAAAATGCCCGGGGGCGGAGATCGTCCAACTCCTCGATGCGCTTTAAATTGTGAACTTTTGTTTGGCCGCCAGCGAAAGCGGGCGACCGCGGCGCCCCATCCTTTTTGAACCTTTTTTCTCATCTTCGCACCTGTTCATTAAAGATCCTCGTTTCACACCTTCGCTTGACACCTCTTCTCACTGAAGGAAATGGCGTCCTGGAAGGACGGCAGTTTCTGCTCTTCAACTGGTATGCTTCGGCGAAATCTGTGCTCGATGGACGTTTCATGGATACATGGACACCACGCCAGCCGACAAGGGACCCGCTGCCCGCAACGTTTGCTCTGATGGGGACGAAGTTTGCTTCCCCTGTCGACAGCCACGGCTTGGATGCAAGACAAGCTCAACATTTTGAAGTGGGATGGGCTTGCTGGACACAGTGCCGCATGCCCGGTGGCTCCAGGGGGTTTCCTGAGTGCTGCGGGGTCCCTCTGGCGAGGCAAGTTGTGTGCCCAGCCGGAATTACGGGCACAGCTGCTGTGAGCAACCGGGAATTCTTCGGGAAGGGAATGTGGATGTGTGGGCTGAAACGCTCAACTCCAGGGCGTGAAAGATGTGCACGGCAGATCGAGCAGCATGTGCAGCGTTGAAACGCGGGACGTTGCGCAGCAAATCAACTGTCATTGTTGCCCGTTCTACACAGTTTCTATGCGACATTGGATCGCTCTCGTCCCAAGAATCTGTCCCCAATTTAGTCGCACCTCAGGAGCAAAGCCGCGCCACGCAGCCCCACATGTAACAACACAGACTTCCCAAAAGGAAAAAGAATCCATTCTAGTCCCCTAATCCGAGAAACATGCACACCAACGCATGGGTCGTTGATCCCGTTTGATGCTTTGGGTTGCGCCCGCCAATGCACCATCCTCAGATCAGATTGATGTTCATGATCTCGAAATGGGACAGCATCATTCCCCATGAGATGGCGGGAATCGCAGCGGGGCTCAGGACGCAACAACCTCCACGCCGCGCCTGCGCGCATGGTAAAAAGGACTCGGCCTTTTCCGGCTTCGCCTTTCTTCGAATTCATTTGTCCCCCTCCTCAATCGCGGCACAATGTTTCTGTTGTCCTCAGCTTCGGAAATGCCGTCAACCGCGGGGAAAGACAGCGTCACCCCGTCCGTTGCGTTCCCCCCGCGACCGAATCGGAGCCGAGGAAATCCACACGAACTCATTTTGAGGGTATTGATCGCAAACTTCCCTCAAAATAGGGTCTGAAGCTCCATCCCAGCGTAAATTTCAGGCTCTATACCACACACGTGCGTCCACACGGGGCACTGCAGCCTGGCAGCTCAAGCCGCGGCGTGGGGGTCCTCACTCAGACGTTGGCGCGAGGCACTCCTTCTTGGCCCCGCCGCCGCCCTCCTCCAGGACCTTCTGAGCCAGGGCATTCACGGAGGCCGCTATCTGACCCTCCCCGAAGTACGCCGCACCACCGTGGTGCGAGAAGTCCAGTCCCACGGCCTCGTCCGCCTTGCTCACTCTCAGGACCCCCGCCAGGGCCATGAGGCCAAAGAGGGCGGTGGACATGGCCAGGCTCCACAGGGAGAGCCCAAAGGCGCCCGCCAGCTGCACGCCAAGCTGCCTGCCCCCGCCGCCATAGAAGGCGCCGTAGTCGTCCGCACACGACGCGTAGCCAGCACTGCAGGTGTTGGACTCGGTGGCGAACAGGCCGACGGCGATGACGCCCCAGATGCCACTGGCCATGTGGACGGAGGAGGCGTCCAGGGGGTCATCGATGCGGAGCCTTTTGAGCATCTCCGACCACAGCGTGTAGACGAAGGCGGAGATTATGCCTGCCGCGGGCAGTGGGGGGCGGGTCAGATAGGGGCGCGGCAGAAGTTTGGAACGGGCACTATAACAGCCTTTAAGGAAAACGTGGTGCAAAGTGTGCAAAAGTGCACATAGTAGGCCGTGTGCAACCTTTACCAATATAGTGTTCATTGTAGTCGCAAGAAGAAGTTTGATAGAGGATCTTGGGTTATATATGTCACTAAAAATGTTGTGCGTGAGCGTTGTCACTGATTGGATTTCTGGAAGAAGGAATGAGCAAGCTGGCGAAATTGGAGCGTCCAAACCGGGCAGTGGATGTACCCCAGCTTCGTACGGCGCCACGGCGCCCGCTTAGCGTTTGCAGCCCTTCTCTCGTTTTCTACGAAACGATTGCTCAAATCCCATGAATAATCCATTACAGCAGCTCTCTTGTTGCTCACCAAACGATCGCTCAACTCCTGTCAATAATCCATTACAACAATTATCTTACTTCTCATCAAACCATCGCTCAATTTCCACACCAGTACCACCACAACACCTCAGCCCCGCTCAAACTCCCCGCGAGGCCGGCTCACCGATGGCGAAAGCGCCCTGGGAGTCCACCACCGGGCAGCCGGCCGTGACGCCCACCAGTCCCGCCAGGATGCCGTTGAGCGTGGGCGGCAGGTCCGGCGGCTGCCGCCTCAGCACGTGCACCGCCAGCGAGGTGATCCCGCCGGCAGCCGCGGAAATGGTGGTGGTGACCGCCACGCGCGTGGCGACGGCCATGCTGTCCACGAAGACGAGAGTGGAGACGGGGTTGAAGCCGTACCAGCCGAACCACAGGATGAAGGTGCCCGCCACGGAGAGCACCGTGGCCTGACCTGCGATCCAAGGCAATTGGAAAGGGGTGAATGGAAATGCCGGCTCTTGTGAGCTGCAAGGCGCAGCGGTGCCCGGTCCTTCGACCTGTAAGGTGCTGCGCACCCCCTTGGCCCCTGGCGAAGCCAAAGGCTGTAATTCGCAAGAACGCAAATATCGTAGTATCGAAGACCCTTCGGTTTCTGTGGGGGTTTGGTGCAGAGGCGGAGTTTCGGCTTTGCTTCGCCTTTGTCATCGTGTGTGATCAGGGATTGTCCGCGGCAATGATTAGGTCTCTATTGCAGCTGATAGCCAGTTCGTCATTCAATTGAGTCCAGAAACACAACAGCACACTAGCAGTCAAATCAATTCAGTATTTAATGCAATGAAAGGCAGGGAGGCAGCCGTCAGTTCCCTACTTCGCCAAGGAAAGTCTGTGTGCGTCATTCACTCTCCGAAAATGCAGGGAACTGCACAAACGGATCGTGAATGCAACAGACCCAATTCCCCAGAACAGAATAGCTACGACAGTGCGCTGAACAAGCGCCTGTGCCTGAAGCTTGGAAGAAGCGCCCAGAACAAAATCGCAGCGGGCGGCATCTGCCGTGAACAAACCACCACGAACCGCACTGAGCCAAAATTGAACCTGACACACGGTTAAGAGAACACGACTTGATCACATTTTCCACACCTTGAACCACACTCGATTTTGTCCCAATTTGATAAATTTTAAATGCTGTTCCAAACTGTCTAGAGCTGGGCATTTTCCCAGTGTGAAATTAGCAATACACTGCTTACCCGGTGCTGGCATACTTATAATGGACACCCAAAAGAGCAGTGGATGCTCACACCGGGTAGTGAAGGCTAACGTGGTTTCGACCCCAAGAGACCGGGTTGGATACCAATAGGGGGGACGCTGACACCGGGTGAATACGGTAATGTGCGAACAGGCATTCCAAAGACCCGAGTTTTCGAAGTCCCCATTCGCCCACCCGCAGCCACATTCGCCACCCGGCATGTCCTTCGCCGTCCCGTCGGGCATGAACCTTGAGACTCAAACATGCGATTTCTTCACATTTCAATGCAATGTAAACGCTATGGCACACAGTTTCGAGTGTGGAAAAATTTTTCAAGTTGAAAAGAGCAACTGCATGTCAAGTCGACACTGCTGAACAGCAATACCAAAGGCTCGAGAATTTTGACATTTGCTTAGTTTACTTAATTCATTTAGAAATTCCCATACATTTTGAGGCAAATAGCCGGAAAAGGGGGGGAAAGGGGGGAAATGGAAATTTCGTACTTAAATACAGCACATGCAGACTGAGGGAGTCCGGGAAATAGCATCTATCGCGCCTAAATATGCGCAAAACGATGTTTTTGTCCGCGAAGTCGTTGCCCTTGCTGAGGGTGAGGTGTGCTTTGTGTTGCCAGTGCTGGAGAGAGTAGAGGATTGGTCGTTGATTGGGACATCATCATGTTACCTGGGCGTGTTACCTGGGACGACATTGCCCTCGTATTGCTCAATCGGGAGTCGAAAAATGTGCCTGTGAATTTGGCAACCAACCCAAATGAATTGGTGAACAAACGGAAGGTTGCCGCCGTTGGCTTTGGCACATCGAATGTTGGCGGACCTTCTGACACGCTCAAGTTCACAAATGAGTTGAGCATCGTCCCAAACTCTGTGTGTGAGCTTTCGTGGGAGGGCGTCATCCAGGACGCGATGGTGTGTGCTATTGGGCCAGATGGTGTTCTGGACATGTGCCCAGGTGAGGGCTCACGATGTCCAACCTGACCTGGAGTGACTGTGCATTATGCTGGTGGCATGAAACACAGTCATGCCACTGGACTCTTGCCAGGAGATGGAACGAGTGTGATTTCACAGTCGCCAACAACAGCATCGATCGGGGTGCTGACCAGCTGTCACAGGTGGCATCACCCGTGCAACAACTTTTGTTTCAATCCATCTGTGCATGTTTTGAGTTGGAGCTGAATCGCTGAAAGTCGTTCGTTGGGTCTGTGGTGATAATCTGTTGTTGTTTAAGAAATGCCGGCTCTTGTGAGCTGCAAGGCGCAGCGGTGCCCGGTCCTTCGACCTGTAAGGTGCTGCGCACCCCCTTGGCCCCTGGCGAAGCCAAAGGCTGTAATTCGCAAGAACGCAAATATCGTAGTATCGAAGACCCTTCGGTTTCTGTGGGGGTTTGGTGCAGAGGCGGAGTTTCGGCTTTGCTTCGCCTTTGTCATCGTGTGTGATCAGGGATTGTCCGCGGCAATGATTAGGTCTCTATTGCAGCTGATAGCCAGTTCGTCATTCAATTGAGTCCAGAAACACAACAGCACACTAGCAGTCAAATCAATTCAGTATTTAATGCAATGAAAGGCAGGGAGGCAGCCGTCAGTTCCCTACTTCGCCAAGGAAAGTCTGTGTGCGTCATTCACTCTCCGAAAATGCAGGGAACTGCACAAACGGATCGTGAATGCAACAGACCCAATTCCCCAGAACAGAATAGCTACGACAGTGCGCTGAACAAGCGCCTGTGCCTGAAGCTTGGAAGAAGCGCCCAGAACAAAATCGCAGCGGGCGGCATCTGCCGTGAACAAACCACCACGAACCGCACTGAGCCAAAATTGAACCTGACACACGGTTAAGAGAACACGACTTGATCACATTTTCCACACCTTGAACCACACTCGATTTTGTCCCAATTTGATAAATTTTAAATGCTGTTCCAAACTGTCTAGAGCTGGGCATTTTCCCAGTGTGAAATTAGCAATACACTGCTTACCCGGTGCTGGCATATTTATAATGGACACCCAAAAGAGCAGTGGATGCTCACACCGGGTAGTGGAGGCTAACGTGGTTTCGACCCCAAGAGACCGGGTTGGATACCAATAGGGGGGACGCTGACACCGGGTGAATACGGTAATGTGCGAACAGGCATTCCAAAGACCCGAGTTTTCGAAGTCCCCATTCGCCCACCCGCAGCCACATTCGCCACCCGGCATGTCCTTCGCCGTCCCGTCGGGCATGAACCTTGAGACTCAAACATGCGATTTCTTCACATTTCAATGCAATGTAAACGCTATGGCACACAGTTTCGAGTGGGGAAAAATTTCTCAGGTTGAAAAGAGCAACTGCATGTCAAGTGGACACTGCTGAACAGCAATAACCAAAGGCTCGAGAATTTTGACATTTGCTTAGTTTACTTAATTCATTTAGAAATTCCCATACATTTTGAGGCAAATAGCCGGAAAAGGGGGGGAAAGGGGGGAAAATGGAAATTTCGTACTTAAATACAGCACATGCAGACTGAGGGAGTCCGGGAAATAGCATCTATCGCGCCTAAATATGCGCAAAACGATGTTTTTGTCCGCGAAGTCGTTGCCCTTGCTGAGGGTGAGGTGTGCTTTGTGTTGCCAGTGCTGGAGAGAGTAGAGGATTGGTCGTTGATTGGGACATCATCATGTTACCTGGGCGTGTTGACGAGCCGTAAATATGCACAAATATTGCTGTAAAATTGGATGTTTCTCTATTTTCGGGTTATTATGCGTGAAAGTGTAAACGTGAGAATGGAGCCGTCAACGTAAGGACCAGCCTGCCCACCCGCAGCGACGCGCCCCACCCGGCATGTCGTTCACAGTCCCGTCCGGGTTGAACCTCCCCGCCCTGGGGCCTACGAAGTACGCCGCCATGAGCGCCGCGGCGCCCCCGGTCACGTGAACCACGCCGCTGCCCGCGAAGTCGATAAGCCCGTTGGCCCCAAGGCTCGGGTCCGCGTTCCCGTCGTCGCCCACCCGGAACGCCGACAGCCAGCCTTCCGCCGACCAGCCCCAATGCACTGCAACTGGATACACGAAGCCGGTGATGGCCATGGTGTAGAGGAAGTAGGCAGTGAGGCGGCAGCGCTCCGCAACGGCGCCGGAGACGATGGTGGCGGCGGTGGCTGCGAATGCCCACTGGAAGAACCAGGCCGACCAGTAGGTGCTTTCCGACGGGATGTCGTGGTGAAAGAAATTCTGGGGGGCCGGGAAGGCGGGTCAATCGGTGCGACGTGTGTTGGCAACGATAGAGAGTTTTCCACTATTTCATGGAAAACTCTTTATAAAAGGGGTCCCAGTTTATAATTTGGGATCCCTTTTGCACAAAAGTTTCGGGTTCGCAAATCATGCGCCATCCACGGTATGCCCAGAGTGCTTGTCCCGCTTTTTCTCAGCCACTGAAGGCAATCGATGCACAGTGGCCCGAGAGCCACACACGTCTCAAAAGAGAATTGAAGGTCGGGGGGGAGGGGAAAGTAGGTCAGGCGGTGACATGCGTGGACGCTGATGCCGAATGTTGATGCGCAATATTGCCCGTGCCGCAAAAGGCATTGATGCTCAGTGCAAAGTGGACTTTTCATTAGAAAATGGCTCATGCGTGGGTGACAGCCTAGAGCGCTCAGCCTTGTGCCGCTTATCCCAAAACGGGGTCTCATGCGCGCTGTGCGAAAATTGCCTGCAAATCAGCGCGGAAATGCGCGGTTGCGCCTGGGCATTTGGACATGACGTGATTGCGAGAATCGTTTGGGAATTGACTGGGAGCTTGCGCTGCATGGAACTCTGGCTATCGTGCGGCAGAACGTGAAATGAAGTGCACGTTGGGGATGGAGAAGAAAGAGCAGCGGGCGGGTGCGGTGCAGTGGCGATACAGTATGCCCAATTAAGCTGAGGGTTGTAGATGCGATATTGCCCAATGCCTATATATTCTCTTTAGGTCAATACAACGTAAAACGCACTGCGATTTACGTAAGGATACCTAGGCCATCCACGAAAAATGCATCCCTCCGAATGCCGCGGCCGCAGGTGATCAGCGGGCGGCATGGTGAGGCGTCTCGATAATGAATGAGTGGATCCCTAAATGTATAGCTAGCTTGCTGCAAGGATCGTCTCTCCAGGTGGCTTATCGCAACTGCTAAAGCACATGCTGAGCATGGGTGCATACATTATCCCGTTGCAATGTTTTACTGAATGGACACTGCGGAATGCAGAGAGCGGTGCGTTACCACTGATGAATTTCCTTTCGAGAGCGCGTAAGGCATGGGGTGTGGGTGATTGAAGGGAGGGGGACGTTGGAAATGGAGAGGCGGAATCAATTTACAATAAAACAATATCATCATAGTCAGTAACAGTTTCTTTGGAAGCACAAACCCAAAGTTAAGCTTTTCATTTTGCATAAACAGTCTACCACTCTGGGTGGTCTACCAAATTACTAGGTGGCGCAGTTGCCCCCAAGGGCTTGTCTTTAAATTGATTGCCTCATCTATTTATCTCATACTTGTACAATGTATTAAGTAGCCACATTGCCCATTACGTTATTTGTTTGAGCTATGCGTTCGATTCGCGAGGAGCACTCACATTGCCTCCAATGAAGGCGTTGGGTGCCTTCCCATCCTCTCCATACGCGAAGGGATGTCCTACCGCCCACCAGATAATCCCTCCAATGCAAGCATCCAATATGTTCTGCCGACCGAGTAGAAACTATCACTTCTAAACATCTGCCCCCAACAGATGTTAGCCTTTGAGTACAATTTCAATTGCTGTAGTCAAAATATTGTTGGCGATTACCCAGTATTTGTACTGCTCCGCATGATAAATGATACTAAAGATCAACGTCTGCGCACAAAGTAGCAGTATCATTAAGTATCAACAGATTTTCAAAAAGGCAAAAACTCGTCATACATTACATCAGTCCTTCATATTTGAGCACTGTTGAAGCAACAGTAAAATTTGCTGCAACATAGCATATCGCACATGTAATTAACATCAGTAAAACAGTTCCAAATCATTGAAGTTCTACTTTCAGCAAATAAACAACATTCGAAGACGGTAGCAAATTACAGTTTTTGTCCAGTTGTCTGTGGTATTGATGGAAGCTCCTGGGGGAATGCGGAAAGTAAGCACCGCAGCATATTTGTCTTGCAAAATTTATTGCAAGGAAAAAAGTAACTTCCTAGGAACGTCATTCCCTTTGCCTTCTTTTACTGGTTTCCCTGTTTTTTCTGTTTTCCGCATATCTTCCACTGCTTCTAATATCCCTGCGATATTAATCCGCAAACAATTAATTGGGATTTTGTATTATTACTCATTGCCTGCGATCCTAAGTCGTTGCAATACTCTGTTGTCATATCTGAGCAGCATTCAGGAATGCATTATGTACATCTACGGTATAGACTGTACATATTGAGCATAATGTAATTCCCACACACGATAATTCAAGTAATATGTCGCAAAATTGTGCTGCAACGCTCACTGGTAGACCTAGATATAAACAGCGAATTTCACTACCAATGATGGTAACCACAGTCGCTCAGATATTCTTTGAGACGACAAGTGCACACCAGAGGGCGCAGCCTGTGCACTGGACGCAATATATGAACAATGACAAATAACGCGATAAATTTGCCACATCGCGATGGCAAACTGTGGTAATTATTTGTCATTCTCGAGTGGCAAATCAAGCCCACCTTCAATAAAATGTTCTTCGTGTTGATCACCCTCACGCTCCCCACCTCGAGCAGGGTGAAGCCAAGCTGCGAACGAACCAGGCCGCCATTTAAGAGAGTAGACAACACGCGGGCAAGCAAATTAGAAGTTCAATCAGAACACCTCAATAAGAAGATGTGACACATCTAGGCAAGGAAGCAGCGCCCGCTCCCTGCATTTCACCGAAAAGCAATTTCCACGTTTTGTTCACTCGACCCCAACGCATTGCATGAGCACAATGCAGTCCATCCGGTGGATGTTCAGCGATTTCACATGTCAGCGACTCCCCCCCAGCAACGCTGCCGGAGTGCGCCCCCACCTGCATGAAGAACACGAGGCACCCCCCGAAGAACTGCCAGTACATGTCCAGGTCCCGCTTGAGCCCTTCCATCCCTCCGGCGCCAGTCAACGCCGAGTTGACGGCCCCCAGCTGCGCCTCGAGCGCAGCCACCCTGGCCTCCAGCGCCGCGCTCATATCGCCCAAAGACCTCCCCCACCCGGAGACCCCAAGGAACGGGCGGCAGGGGCAAGTTCCCCTTCTTTAGGCACTTGTGTGTTTTTCCCCAGAGACTGGACGGTTGGGATGCCGCGACTGCATCGTGTTTTGTCTCGGGCAGGATTGGGAGGCCTTCCTCGTGGGGGTGGGCGGCTGGGAAACGGGCCTTGGGGCCCGGGGCTGACGGTTCGCGGCGCGCCGCTGCGGGGGACGGAGGGGAAAGGGGGGGAAGGGGGGGGGGGGGGGGGGGGGGGGGGGGGGGGGGGGGGGGGGGGGGCCTGGGAGAGTGCCGGGGGTGCTCGCAGGGGTGGCAGAATTGAACGCGTCTCTGGCCGACGCGCACCCCTGTTGAAGTAAGTGTTTCTGTCAATCCAGTCCACCGTCGAGAGCTCTTTCACATCCTCATCATGGTCGTGAAAATTTTGCATAAGGGGGCAAGGAGGTGGCCGTCAGGTTCTCATGTTGCCCGAGCAAGATTGGTGCATTGGCCAGTTGTTTTCCTTACGCAATTTCCTTCGTCAGTGCCGCAATTTTGCACGGTATGGACGTCTCTCGAGGGGCGGGCATGACCGCACATGACCGTACGTGACCGTGCATGGCCGTACATTACCATACATGACCGCAAATGGTGACAGGGCTTGCTTGCCATGATGTTCGCAAATGTAATTGCAACGGATTTCCACATGGTCGTACATGACCGAATGTTCAGCCATCTATTCAACTGAATTCCGGCCACCGCATTTCCTAATGACGATTCCACGCCGGCGATGCACCGTGCTCCTGGATCTGACCTGATTTGATCTCAGATCAGACCGATGTGGCGCTCCGGAAACACAGTTCGACTTGGAGACATTGCCAACGCTGCACCTCTCAAATGTTGTGCAATTTTTCAGCATAAGAAAGGAGCAGATGCTTGATTATGTCGAGTCTCACAGAGCGTGCTGAAATGCGGATGGCCACACGGCCCTCTGTGCTTGATCAGAGAGTCGCCTACGCTTGTCTCACAGTTTTTGACACTGTTATCGTCGGGCAAGTTGGAGCGCCTGCAGCTGCTCGCTCGCCAAACTGCCCAAGGTGTTTGACTGATTGGTCAATTCCATTGACAGCAATAAACCCAATAATATTGATCTAACTTCACAGAGCACTAAAGGTAAACGCAAAAGTGCCCTATTGTCCAAATTGGCCGATTCATTACGTCATCGACGCGTTGGTTGGTTTGCGAGTCGCTGAGTTCGTTGATGGATTGACTGCGCTCATCAACCACGTTTCCGTTTGGCCTGTGTCTGTCAGTGCCATGAGAATGTGGAAATTCAGCATCCCTTCTAAAAATTTGAGAATTGGCGGATGCTGGCTTTCTTTGGTGCAATACCTTGGATGTCAATCCATACTTTACGACATGTTCATTATGTTCATACGCTCGCAAATATGAACACTGCTTTTCTCGGGCAGCAGGGGAAGCCGACGGCTACCTCTTTGTCTTGTTACGTAACATTTCGCGGTGACGATGGCGACAATGTGGAAATCCGCAGCGAAGTACCCATGGGCTGCAGAAGGCACTGACCGCACCGACGTTTCAAACGCATTCACCACTTCGCACTATTCTGCTCATTCGATTTCACCTGCGGCGGACATTATGGGAATGACTCGAGCCATCATCCCAATCAACCGATCAATCGTCACCGGCATCTGCCATGTTCATGCGACGCAACTCATCCCTCGATTCCCGAGGTCGACCCTCCGCCATTCAACCTCGCATTTGCATTACAACCTGATTTTTCCCATTGCAACAAGTTCAACGAGGCACCGTTTTTCTTGTTACAGCCCGACCTTCCTCATTGCAACGGGTCCAAAGAGGCCCACCGTCTTGCCACGGCTTGATTTTCCTCATCGCGACGAATTCAAAGAGGCCCGCTGTCTTGTCACAAACCTGATTTTTCTCATTGCAACGGATTCAAAGAAGCCCATTTTATCGTCACAAGCTGAGGTCATCCCACTGCGAGAGGCCCTGCAAGAGGCCCTCCTGAAGAGGGGCGTTCACACGCGCCTGGGCCCCCCGCTACCGCCCTGTCACACAAAACATGCTAACTAGCCACGGTCAGTCAATGCGTTCCAACACCGTCGAAAGTCGCAACTAAAAAAAGTGCGTAATGTACATCGGCCACCCGGCTGGCGCCGACAAGCACCGGCCACGGCGCCTGGACAAGCGAGTGCGCGACCACTTGAGCACTATCGTTCAGCACTCCCGTTCTTTAGTCCTTTAGTGCTTCAGCAAAACACACGCAGCGGTGCACGTGCCCAGGTTATCGGCTGTCGGCCAAGATGTCACATCGCACGGGACTGCAGTGCCACCTTCCCACACCCTTCCCTCGGCGCCCAATTCAGGGGCGCCACTGAGCACCCCCTCCAGCAAAACTCGCATGCCAGCCCACACTGAGGGCTGTCATTTAAGCCACCCCAACGGGGTGAAAAAACAAGAACCCATTGCGCTCAAGCTCCCTAGAGCAGGACGCTCATGCGCGACCCGTCTGACTAGCCACCACCACCCCTTGACTAGCCACAAGCCATCCCGTCAAATGCCAACACCTTGGCCCGCACCACTCAAAAGCAAAACAGGGCCTAAGGGACCCCAATCGAACAACACGGCCCATGGGAGGCCTTAGGACCCCACACCAGCCAAAGCCCCACAGATCCGTAGGGACCCACAGAACATCCATCGACCGACAAGGGGGCCAAACACACTCATTCCACCCAACGGCCACACTACGACCTAAAGCACCAAACACAGGAAATTCTGCCTGGTCCCAAATCTTGTCCATCTCCTCAGAAGCGCTGCTGCCCTAGTTCCTGCTAGTTAGTCCTAAATCTTGTTCATCTCCACTGAAGCACTGCTGCCCTCATCGGGGATCGGCACGCGCCGGCTCACTGTCCGTGACACACGCCTCTGCAGCACCTCCCTTGCCCGCCTCAGGTCTGCCGACATCCGCCGGCCAACTGCCCCGCCCTGGCTGGACCCCAAGGACCACTGCCCTGGGGTGCCCAGCCGCATGCTCAGCAGCGCAACGGCTACAAAGCCGAAGTAGAACGCCGCAAGGACGATTTCGTTCTGGCGCAGGCGGCCCACCTCGATGCCCAGGGTCTGCAGGAAGACCTCGCCGTCGATGTTGTCAACGCTGACGTAGCCCGCCACTGCGAATGTCATCTTGAGGCCCACGAACTCGTTGAGGACGAGGGAGTGGAAGGCGTAGGCGAAGGGGCAGCAGTAATGGATCCATCTGGATGAGGGCAGCTGGGAATCAGCACAGGGGTACTGACAGCAAAACGGAGTACAATTATGTGCTACATTGTACTAAACAGGATAACAATATGTGATCAAGGAATGTGCATATGAATGCAAACCAATTAGATAGTAAATGTAATGTGTAAAGAACGTGTCCTTGCTTGCAATGCCAAAACGATCTGTGCTTCCTTTTTGGTTCCAGCGCAATGGTCGACTCTCAAATTTGATAGAATACTCTGGAAGTAGAGGAAAGAAGGCGGCATGCTGGTCATGCCAAGAGCATCTGCTGAAGATTGACTGGCAGCATCAGCTTGCTGGTGGCTAGGATGGTCTGCAACTGTTAGTCAGACTGCCTGCCATATGTCTCCAGCGTGTGCACACTTTAGCAGCAAATGACTGATGCATGTTTGTGCCCCCAGCTTGGCGGTCCACGTCCAAGCCTGTGGGCAGCGAGTTGAGCTGCTGCAAATCGCTGGAGGCTGGGCGAATATCCAACGACAAGAGTTGCCAATGAGTGATGAAGCGCTTCCCTTAGTGCCTCCAGGGTGGCGTCAGGCACAGGTATGCATATGGCATGCCCATGCTCTCCAGAAGAACCATTCCCAAAGAAATTCAATATCAAATAGAATCCAAGTTCCGATGTAGCATTCTAACTCATGTGGCAAACCGCTGGGCTCATTTCAATCATCATGTCCAAGCACAAACAGGTCTGCAAGTGGGTCACTGGTTGGGTCACTGCGAGCCATGCACTTCATACAGGGTGTCATGAAGGGCACTCCAACAGCGCAAGTCACACACATACATACTCACCTCTGAAATAACATTTGAATGCAGCAGATAGCAAAGGCTATGTAGCTGCAAGTACTATGCTGTGTCACATGCTAAAATCGCAATAAAGACTGCCTTCTTCAATGCAATAAAATGCAGCACACACAATACTGTTCCAAAATGCAGTCATCAGCAGACTTTGTCACCCAATAGGCAGGTTTTGCTGTGCTGCACCCCAAACTTGCCTACTATGTGAAAAACCAGCGAGTCATCACATTCCAAATAGCGTTGCACATGCTGCATTCTTGTGGTTACTGGCCCAAGAAATGATGTCTAGATTGCATTATCTGCACAAATGTGCATGCATAGTTTCTCCAGGGAACTCTCGAGGCAAATTCATGAAGGCAACCATGGCACTGTTCCAAAACGAGGCAGAGCTTCACCTTAGGATCGGTGCGATGGAGCTCCACTGCACCAGGAAGCCCGAGAACAGGAGGTTCATCAGAAGCACGGTGTTCATCACGAGGCTGGTTGTGCCCGGGGTGGGAGACCAGATCGTGACGATCATGGCCATCGCTCCCACGATGAGGTTGAAGCTGTTGATGGTGAAGAGGTATATCCAGAACTTGGTCCAGTTCGATTGCAGGCCCATCATTCTGTGCAGGGGAATGGCCAGCAGGGTGCCAGGCACCACACGCAGCAGCAGGGCGTCCAGGATGAGCTTGGACGAGATGTAGGCCTCAGGCGTGTAGAAACCCGCCTTGATCTCACGGAAGGCGATGTCCCGCTCCGAGTGCAGGAGGTCGATCGTGGTCAGGGACGAGAAGGACAGCAGGGCAAGTGTGAAGAAGAAGGCCCCCAGCCGATTCTGGGCGCCCTCCACATCCAGCCCTGCCTCAAAGAAGATCCCACCTCCAAACAAACCCATCGCCACGCCCATTGCGACGTGAGCCCGTATAAGCGCAGGGTTGCGCATCATGTCCACCATTCCCCGCCACACCAGCGTTGCAAGTCGGTCAAATCGCCGCCGAGCTCCGAGCTTTGGGAACGCGGCCAGACTGGACGGGTCGTTCGCAGTCTTGGAGCCCATCACGAGATCCCCGCCGCTTTCCCTTGCCCCAGCTTCAAACGCACTGTTCAGCACAGTCACAAGGGTGTTGGGGTCGCTGACTACTTGGAGCATGTATTCTGAAATAGCCAGCGACTCTGGGCAGGACAGGCCCAGCCTGGCAAAGTAGGCCTTGGCCTCTCCTGGGGGTCCAAAGTACACCTGGAATCCCCGGGCCAGGAGCAGGACCTTGTCGAGCAAGGCCACGATGGCTGGGGCAGGCTGGTGGAGGGAGGCCACAACAATGCGACCTGCGTCGCCCACCACCTTGAGGCCCTGCAATGGAGGATACACATGGATCAGATGTGCCTACACTGGGCAGCGCAACATAATAGCACCTTGAAACAATGTTCGGATAATTTGCAGCAACTCAAATCTACAGAACACAATTCCAACAACAATTAGCGTATCTACTTTGCTGTTGGTACTGTTGATGCATTGACAAGCCAACTATGCCACAAAGTGGCCTAACCCTGGGTTGCTCTATGCATGATGCAAAGTAAACCAGTCCAGTTGAGCCACAGTATATCAATTCAGTACTTATGCACGCCAACAGACAACATTCACTTGAACATGGCACAAAAGCACCTTGCACAGTAGTGCTATCCAATCACATGTACCTGCATCAGGTTCAGTGCGGTGAAGCTGTCCAGACCAGAGGTTGGCTCATCCAGAATGAGTATCGCAGGGTCCGTGATGAGCTCCATGCCGATGGTCACGCGCCGCCGCTCGCCCCCACTGATACCCCGCATGCCCCGCACGCCCCCCACCAGAGAATGTGCCACGCCATGCAGGCCCAACTCATCCATCACCTCCCCTGTCCGGCGGTGGATTATCGCCCAGTCCGCATCAGGCAGCCTCAGGATGGCTGACACCATGATCGCCTCTTTCACTGTCAGGGTGGCCAGGATTTTGTCCTCCTGCGGAACGAAGGCGATTAACCGCTTGAGCCATGCGCCCTGCTGCCGGCCATTCACCCATATGTCCCCCTCCACAGCGCGCTGCTCGTCCCGGGAGAAGCTTGACAGGATGCTAAGAAAAGTGGTCTTGCCGGAGCCTGAGGGGCCCATGACACCCACGACCTCCCCCTGCTGGAACGTTCCGGTGATGCCATGCAGCACGGACCGTCTGCCCCGTTTGTCAAACAGCTTTTCAGCCAGGGTGGCGTTCAGACCCATGAGGACCTCGGACTGCTGGGATGATGAGCGCCGGAAGGGCACCCCCTGCGAGGAGCACGACTCCATGTCCTCCTCCTTGGGCTTGCCGCCGGCCCCAGGCTGTGGCAGCTCGAAGCGCTTGGACACTGGCACTGAGCACGACACACCAATGAAGACGACCTCTGACAGTGCCGACGACTGCTTCTTGGGCGCCTGGGATGATGCCCCCTTTGGCTGGAACACCATCTGCCTTGCCAGAGACTGGGCCGGAATTCCCAGCAGGATGGCAACGGCGATCACCGCTGCCACAGGGAGCAAGCTGATCACGGCAGTGATGCTGATGGTCCTCCCTGTGCTGACAGATTCTCCGACATTCACCTCCTGGCCGGGATCAGTACATTCCCGAGCAGTGCACACAGTGCTCAACTCGAGGGTGCCCAGGTCCAGGTTGCACCTCCTGGCAGTGTCGTCATCACACCCAGTCCCCTCACACCCGTCCTCACACACCATGACCACAGACTGGATTGTGTTGACGATCCCCAGCACGGCGGCCGAGCACGGCTGCATGCCACAGTTGCACAGCACGCCCCCACTGCACTCGGCGTTGCGGCTGCCAGACCCGAACTCGCAGCCCCACCCGCGGCACTGGATCGTCTGCAGGTCGCCACCCTGGCTGAAGTCGAATGCCACGTCACAGAAAGGGGAGTTGGCATCCAGGCCAGCCTCCTGGGCGTCCAAAATCCTGCGATCCAGGTCAGGCCCCCCGGAGACCAGGCCCCCACCGGTACCCACACCCAGGCCCGCCCCTGCCAGCTTCTCCAGCCGGGGGCCTGTCGTGTTGCAGGTGATCTTGAGGTCGTCCCCAAGGCCGATCCCTGATCCCTGCAGCCCTGCGGCAAAGTCGCTGAAGTCGCAGTTGTACACCTTGTGCGTGGACTCCGCCGAGTACTCGAACGCCGTCACACAAGTCCCCCCCACAGTGTCCCAAAAGTCGTTGCAGGCCGAGTTGGTGCTGCACATGTCACAACCGGGCCCCATCCACCCGTCTGCGCACACGCACTCTCCCGACACCTGATCAAACCTCGACCTCTCGTCCCCATCGCAGTTCCCAGAGCACAGGTCGCCCAGCTCAGCAGCCCTGACCGTGGCGTTGGACCCCGCCAGCAGAACAGCCAGCCTATCCCTCACCTCCCCCACGCTCGACCCATTGAAACAATCCCCCCCCTCTGCCCCCCCACCGCCCACATCTGGATCAGATTCCCCGTCTTCGTCCGGATTTTCCTGATCCAAATTCCCAGCGAGGGCGGCCGTGACAACGGGGGCGTCCTGGCTTGGACAGAACCCCGTGGGAACGGCGCAGGAACCCCCGCCCCACCCACAATCACACTCGCATGCCACGGGCCCATCACCCCCCACCCCAGCCGGGCTGCACCGCCCGTTTGGGCCGCAGTCCTGGACACAGCCCACCCCCAAATCTCCCTCGATCCTCCCGGCCAGCTCCAGCTCGAGGCTGATCGGCCCGATGGCGATCTCGAACGTGAAGTTCGCCTCTGGCACCGCCAGCCTCCTCACTCCCTCCCCAAAGCCCACCCTCCCCTCCACATCGCTCGCCGCCGAAAAATTCTCGACTGCCTGGCTCCCGGACAGGATCCCTGCGTCATAAACCGCCGCGCCGCCCACGAGAGTCAGGTTCACGGCGGCCACAAAGTCCGCCGGCCCGCCCCCCGGCAACCGATCAACCCCTTCCGACCGCCAGGTCATCACCAAATCAGTCAGGTTGACAGCCGCGCCCAGCTCGGGCACGTCCGCCATGATCGTCGAGGGATACACCCTGAGCGCCTCGCCGGGGCGCGTCCCCAGGCCGGCCCCCGCCCAGGCGACCTCCTCCGGCCCCTCCGGACACTCCCCCACCGTCTCCAGCTGCATCACGCCCAGCACGCCGATCACCTGGTCGTTGAGCGGCCTGATGGTCAGACTGGATGCGCCCAGGGCGCCGCTCCCCGTGACCTCAAGCGTCGAGGCCGCCCCGTCCAGCCGAAACGGCAGCTGGCACTGCCCCGCCGCCCTCCGCGCAACAGCCAGCAGCAGGATCAACAAAATCGTCCGCGCCTGGGCTCCCCATGGCCGGAACATCGCCGTTCGCCGCGGCCGCCAGGCCGGCCGGGGAGCCAAGACCTCCTCCGACGATCCCCCTCCCGCCTCGCGCCTCCAGCGCGGGACGCCTCCCGGCGATCGTGAACAGATGCGCGGAAAAATGGCGCCAAAATCGCGCGGCTCGGTTTCGGATCCTTCAGCCAGCGTCCGGGGGGGGCCTGGCGGTGCCGCCCTGGGACGGGCGTATGCTGGCGGGGGGGTCAGGGGGGGTTGCGCGGATCATGGCGCCGGCTGTCGCTTCCCTGGGAGCGCAACAACGGGACCGATCAACCATGCACGTCGTGTCGCAATTGCCGCTCCACAACAAGGCCGTATGTGACATCCCAAGTGCGCCACACTTGTTTGTCAGGATACACTCATTGTGTGGGTCCACTGATGCTGATCCAATTGATCGAATGGCGCTGTGTTGGATCCTATCGCAATGTATGGCGTTCATCGGGTGGCGATGAGGTGGGGTTATACGACAGCCCCGGTTAGGCCACGCTCGGAACCCGTTGGTCATCGGGCGCGTTGGTTGCGGTGCGCTTGTGCAGCTTTCCGAGGCGGTTATCTCATGCGTAGTTCGGGCTGCCGTTCAAAGCGGACAACGTTGTTGGGGCGAACTTCATGCCATGAAGGCGAGCGTTGGCTTTCAAGGGATGCGACCATCTTCATGACTGGTGGTCATGCCATGCGCCAGTTTGGCTCGCAAGCTGCTTCGCGTTAGGCAATTTGGGATGGTGGGAGCCACTTGTGGCACTCATGCAACCGCCGTGCCCGCCAACCGCCAAGTGGCTGAATTCCTTTGTTTGAATTTGCCTTTGGCTATTCATGGCGCTTTAAGGCCAACGGGGACCATGCTAAGACATTCCCGGTGGGAATATCCTCTCCTCGCAGCGTCAACCCTTGCATAGACGCCGGTAATGCCCAGCAGGGGATGCCTGGTATGCTAGATTAACAACCGCGACTATCAAGTGCCGTTTTTGTTTCCAAAGGCAAACGGTCAATTTACTGATACTGCTCTTTTTTTGCGAATTAGCAGTTTAAGGATGGCTGCACACTAGCAAAAGTTGACCATGCCACACGATTTCAGTTCTTTATCTGATTGTGTTATCTGAACAAGGGAAGACGCCATGTCGATTTTGGGACACTTAGCGTCAATTTGACGCCAAGCCCAGGCCCCTCCCTCCCGCCCCCTAGTGTCAATCCTTATGTCGATACCAGGATGACTCAGCAACCTTACATGACAGCGCTAGACAATTTCGAGATGTCTTTGAAGAAAACAAACAGCCAGAATTGCAGCGATCGTAGTGCGCTGGAAAACGGAATGCTAAAGGCCATCTCGGGTGATTGGGGCAACCCCAATGGTTGTCCGTTGGTGTATCCTGGGGTCTTCATTCAAGTTACAACGCTTGAAGGGGGATTTGGAGCAAGTCTGACTTGGATCAACAGCGTTTTGTGTGCAGTGGGCGACCTCTTTAAAGCCGTCCTGAATAAGGCCGGTCAAAATCGGCCATATCTGGTGGCACGACCTAAAGTACAAGAAAGATATGGCCACAGGCAGTTTGAGCGTGTGGGGGGCGCCGCCATGCCTTTCCTCTAAGGCAAGAAGTGCAGACTACCCAACAACACCCCCCAGCTGCCTCACTACACTATACACAAGTGCTCTGGGTGTGATGGTTACCTCCACGGGATCTGTGGAGAAGTCGACCCCTATGTCGATTCAGAAGTGGATCGTACATATAGACTTTTCTACGAATCTGGTTCTTGCGCCACCTCAACCCATTGTCGGCAAGGAGCAGAGTATGGGTGAGTTGTTACCACCGTTCGATGGTATGGACGTTGACCAAGGTCAAATCTTGTTTGACCTTGGCAAACAATTGGGCACGGACAATGCCGATGGCTCCGGCACAAATAAAGACAAGCTCAAGCGACTACCGGTGGAACGAGCGGCTGCTCAAGGGAGCGATAATGCACGAGGTTGACTATAGAACAGGAGGTTGGCATTTGGACACGCCTAAAGTGGTACACATAAAGCCTGGGAAAGCGGACAGTGGCTTATCGTACATGACCAGACCTTGCCGGAACAACCCCTCCACAGTTCTAAATGGATGTACACGCTTTTCAAGCGACGAGCAAGCCACGAATTCAGTTTGGGGCACGGCCATTTCAACTGACCGCGGGTCAGCCCCCCGACCGCTCACAAGCTCAAGAGAGCTACCGTGCTGGTAAAGAAAACGCTGGTGGAGCTTACACGGGGTTGAGGCTTGGCAGAACGAAGCAATGCGGGTGATGGGGGGCAGGGCGCGTGAAAACGCCACCTTGCCTCTAGATCTACGAACGAGCGAGTTAATTCTCAACTTTGCCATGCCGCTTTCCCATTAGCGAAGGCTTTTACAACCATGTTGTAGGGTTGGCTCGCTGCGTCTACGACAATCAGAATGTCGGGATGTTAATGCTCAAGCTTGCAGGGCCATTTCAGCCCCTGAGCGGCAAGACTTTGTGCCGTGCGGGGCGTTCGCAGCCCAGGGACTCTTGGGCACCTCGTACACTGGGCACTCGGGCTTTTACTGCTGTGTTAACACAGGCGCAGGGGCGTTCGCAAACCCATAGCATCGGTCACCCAGTTCAAAACCACCCTCCTTCGATTGGACAATTGCCTATTGACAATTAATGCTATCAAGTAAAGTACCACGCTTCTTATTAGGCAATGCATAAAGTACTGACAATATTTTGATATCAGAATACCCTTAAAAATAATAAATGTATGCACTATATGATGTTAAATATGCCAGAAATGGCTTCTACAACTTTAAATGGGCTACGGTTCTCAATAAGGACTTCTACGGTCAATAAGGCCAGTGAAATAGGGCTGTCACGGGGCAGTCTTAAAGACGCCACCCCACTGTATCTTCCCACCGTATCTTCCCACCTCATGTGGAAATTGTGTTAATTTAATAATCCATTAGCGTCATAGGCAGGCGCACCCCCCCCTACTCCCAATTCCCGGGCACTAAATTGATAGCAAACGTACCAATTTCGATATAATGCCTTCCCTAAGATCGTTCGTTGACAGCACCAAAAAAAATGAATCAATTCAAATAACCTGATAGTGTAGGGTTCACCATTTTCTTGGTGCTTCTTTTTATGAGCGGCATGGGGCTTCTATGTTGGAGCACCTCGAATCGAGGTATGGTCAACCATAACTCACTTTGGGCTTGCCTATGCAATAGTATCAACATTAATAATCAACATTGAAATCATTTCATAATTTGGCGAAGTTCGTTGGCACATTTTGCTAGCTTTTTGTAAGGGCCCCGTTTGCTTCATTGGGAAATAAATGTTTATGTAAATTTGTTTTTGACTTTGCGACCTTTAACATTTATCAGTATCTACAATGCATATAATGTATAAATCTCAGATATAGTACCTTTATATACATGCCCCATGACTAGGCTCTCCCATTCGGCGCATTGTGACCATGGCGATCTCCACCCATAGGCTGACCGAAGCCACCGGATGCTTATTGATACTCATATGGATGCACATATGGGTATGCATGGATGTGCGCATGTGGTGCTCAGTGACTCACTGAGAAGAGCTCAGTTGTCGTTGTTATGCTTTACTTCAAATTGCGTTTGAAAACAATGCCCCTGCCCCTTGTAGTATTTGGCAGCACCATTGCAATTGGGCAGGTTTGTGCCCTCGGGTGCCTTTCAGCTCAACAACTGCAACAAATTCGGTTATTTTTTGTACATGGAAGAAGAGCCAATACCCTTTTAAACTACCTTAGAAAGATACAGTGGTGCACTTGCACTTCTCAAGAAATGACGGGTATTCATACTTCCATGCACGTTTTGGAGTCCCATACTCGTTTATGGTAGAAGGTTGGGATTGAGCGAATTCGGCTAGTCACCAAAATCCACATGGGACGTTCACTTGTACGGGCGAATTGCGGCTTGCAAAATATAGCATTGCCAATCTGTAGTTCATATCAATGCATAGAAAGGTGCACCCATTAATGCTAGCTGAGAATGCAGTGTGGGGAGAGGTTTTGTACTTGTGCATGAAAATATACATATACAATACGGTTGTGTTAGCACAAGTAACAAGCCTAGTTTCTAATCCATTGTGAGTTTTGAACTTGCGATTCCAAAAAATGGACTTGAAAACTATAAGGAGGCACATCCCCTTTTGTGACTAACCGGGGCTAAGCCCGTATGTTGTATTCAACTCGGGAGTCAGTCAAGAGAGAGAGAGAGAGGGAGATGGAGTGGAATTGGAATGGAAGTTTTGTGTTACAAAACAGAAGCTGGGTAGCTATATTTATAACTACCCAGGTTGTGGCAATATGGCTGCCTAAGGGGCGCCACTAGAAACATGGTTTGAATATCTTGTTTTGGCTTGTAACAAGCTTTCGTGCAAAATGTCGGTAAGGGGGTCACGGAAAACAACAAAACGTGCATTTTGCGCACAGGCAAAATGGAAGAAAAATGCCACAACAGCAAACCTGCGCACAAACAGGCCATTTTTGGGTCACCCAACGCACAGGGAAACCACGATGTTGCGCACAAACAAAATCAAGTTGGTGCTGGCCAAGGACACCCACAACCACCTCACAATCAATCCATGTGACCCACAAGTCGTGGGTGCCACATGGCCTTTGCGGCAACGATTACAATTGGTGTTACACGCAAAGGAAATTACAAGTTGCTAGGTCTAGAAATGGCCCCTCCCCTGTCTAGCACATTTCATCCCAACGCTCCAGCTCCGCTAAGAGACGCCGTTTGTACTGGGGGTGGATGTACCCCCTCCTAGCTCCACTGGCCTCCAACCAAACGTCACAAATGATGTTGTCGGAGGACACCTCCCCCTGTATTTGCCGCCCTTCCACCCAACGCCCGTTAAGTTGGTCATCGTCCGAGGCGTCAAAGCGGAGGGTCCCCAAGTTGTAGGGGGGTTGGGGCTTATACTCGCTCTCGTAATACACGACGGTGAAC